AATTGCTACTAAAAAGTTGGATCAAATTTTAAGGCCAGTGGTAATATCTGGATCTTTTTTTCTGGCCATGCTTAGAAGACTTAAGCTAAATTAAGAACAGCAATCCAATATTTATGTTTCTGCAGAAAACATAAAGTAACAGTGAAGTAGTCCCATTTTAATTTCTTATGCAAAAAACATTGGTGCTTTATTGTGCTGAAGTATTGCAGGATTATGTTACACGTGACAAAATCATTCCTTTTCCTAAAAGATTCTTAGTTTTCCTAAAATTCCTTCACCTATTTCCTTCACAACCTTCCCCAGCCATCCCCCAGATTTCTGCTACAATTAAAAGACTCTCAGAAAAATTCTTTGAATACAGTATATAGGTAGATATGCTAAACTACTTTAAATGAATAGTTGCTACTACCAGAACTCAGGTTAAAAATATTTCCAATGAAAATTAATAACAGAAGAAGATGATAAATAAAAGGGGAAATATACAAAGATAAAATTATCAATCTTCATATAAAGACATACAACCCTTGTGTCTAATATAAGGCAATTTACCTTTAGATCTCATTTCCTATTTCTGCTAAAATAAATGCTGTGTGAGCGTCATGTGCTAGTACAAGAGGTAATTAAAGGCCTCCTGTAGTTCTGGTAAATTTTTCAAAACCTTTTGTTGCTTGATTTCATCAAAGTATTATTTTTTTATTCCAGTACTCTCAAATTAAATTCACACCAAATTTATCTACAGAGGCATTAATGAAAGGCTTCTAAACAAATTTATTCTACTTTGAAACAAGCCAAAGTCCTCCTGTACTTACTCTTTTCCTTACTCTTCAAATAAAATATTAAAAAAAGCTGCATTGGTTAATGTGACATCCTTGAGGGATTTATGGATTTTCTTTTTTTTTTTAACTTTTACTATTACAGATATTTAAGTAGTGTGTAGATAATGTAATGAGATTATGTCGTTTAGACCAGTATCTAAAAAGTCAAAGAAACTGCCATTTTACACATTAGTAATCTCTAATTTGGAGATTTCTGAATTTACTGGAGGATCTTGAAGGCTTTATTCATCTATTGAATAGGAAGTTTAGCAGCAGGCTGCTGGTGAGTGACCTGTTCCCTACCAGTGATCATCCACCGCCATCGTAGCTTGTACACTGCTCTAAAACTGCTTAGCTAGGTACGACAGCTGCAGTGTTTGTAAAGAGAAACCTGCAGCAGAAGTCATTTTCGAAGACAGAATTTCTATGAATGTCATAGTCCTTTGAAGAACATAAGTGAAGGCCTAACATCAGACATTTGCAAGTGGGTGCTGCCCCACATGAAATAAAGGCTGACTTCTGTCTGAGCACTCCAAAATGTATGAAGATCTGCACAGTGTGGAGGTGAATCTGTAGGATTTTTGTCTTTAGTCCAGCTCACTTTTCCTTTCTGGTGTTTTGGGTGGTTTGTTTTTGTTTTTTTGGTTTTTTGGTTTTGTTTTTTTTTTTGTTTTTTTTTTTTTTTTTTTTTGTTTTTTGGTTTTTTTTTTTTTTTGTTTTTTTGTTTTTTTGTTTTTTTGTTTTTTTGTTTTTTTGTTTTTTTGTTTTTTTGTTTTTTTGTTTTTTTGTTTTTTTGTTTTTTTTTTTTTTTTTTTTTGTTTTTTTTTTTTTTCCTGAGTGTTGAAGGGGGAAAATGTTTAATGCACTTTAATCTCACTCTTTTGAGGAGAATAGGTGTTTGTATTGTTGAACTGGTTTCTTCCCATAATTTATTCAGGAGTCTAGAATGTGAGATAAATAAACGTGTTGTCTGCATGCATTAGAGGAAGCAAATAAGGTATAATGAACTTTGGTCAGGGCCTATAAGGAAGATGAGGTTTTCAAATAATAAAAAAGAGTCTCCTGCTAGAAATCCTGTACAATGAGGTTAGGTGGTGTGCATTATGCAGGGGAGATCAAACCTTATGAAGAAGTTTTCTTAGAAACACGAGACTTTGTAGGTGTGTGTGATGGAGGCAGTGACAACTCCCTTGAGAAGTGTGGCTGAACTTCTCAGCCTGTTTTACTGGAGCACTGACAAGTCTCAGTCCATCCCATTCTTTTAAAGGGTCTTAGTATATTTAAACTCTCATGACTGTTGTTTCTAGATTTCTACATGTGTCTGCAGGATGTAGTTATTGGGATTATGAGACAGCAGTTTAAAATCTGTTTTCAGTTTCAATAGCAGCTACTGACTTCAAGGGTCTTCTGAGAATGCCTAGAAGTATTGAGCTTATTTCAGCATTTCTGTATGTCAACAATTGTCTTGGATTGGGAGACACGATGCAATAATAGTTTTGTTGGCTGACTTATCTTTGAAACATGGCTGATGTGTATTCCCTCTGCTTGGAAAATATTTCATATATGTGGTACAGTACTAAATCACCCTGGGTTCAGCTATAAAAAAACCCTCACAAAACAAGTGGTGCCTTTCCCACAGTGCCTTTCCTTCATACACATAAAAAAAGGAAAATGTTTTGAACATCTTTGTTACTATAAAACTGTTGAACACTTTAGTGATTGTGGAAAAAATACCAGGAAGGAACAGGCTCATTTCACACCTTCTTTAAGCAGATATATGGAAAAGTCATGAGAGATTTGTGAATGTGATCAATGCTGTTTAAAATTGGGCTCATAGGGTAGGAGGAGAAACTGTCTTTAGTTTACTTATTGTTTGGCTCACAGGTACATCTCAAATGTTAAGAAAAACAGTGCAACTGTTGTTGCTCCAATCAAAACAGATTCAAAAACATAGGGAGCTACAAGAAATACATATGCTTGAATAGTCTGCAGAGTTGTTTAACTGAATAAATCCAACACAGTTTCATTACATTAAAGACCAGCTGTTAGGCACAGTCAGAATGCCAATATAAAATCAACATATGTAATCTTGGCCAAGCTGGGTTTTTTCCCCATCAGAAAGAATATTTGTGCCAAGAGCATATGCTGCAAAAGGACTAAAGCACAGTCCCATTACCACTGCAGGGTACATAATTACATAAATTTACCTAAATATGGAAAAATTGTAACAAATAGGGGAGACTTGGCAGATATTTTGGTTTCACATTTGGTATTTGGCATAACACAGTGTCCTGTTTAATTCCCATTGCTGCTACTTAGTGTTTCCTTTAATTGTGGAGCACATGGCAGCTCTTATTCTATTTAATTTTCTCATAGCAGCTCTCACATTTTGGCTACAACCACATTACATGAAAAAGCACGTAAGTATAGATTATACTGTACTAGAGCCTGAGGGTATAGCGTATAAAAATAGTAATTTCTCAAGCATAAAAGCTTCTTGAATGTAGAAGTTAAACTCTATTTTAGAAAACAAGTACAAGACACAATGCATTTGTATGCACGTATTGAAAAGTTTTAGTGTCCCAGAGTGGTAGAGGGAAGAAAGAAGGAAGAAGATCTATTCCAAACCTCAGCTAGTAGCTTTTGGTCTATTTGGCATCCTTTTGCATTTGCAGTCTGGGCGCTGACACTGCTTTCCTTCTCTATAACAAATCCCTTATTCCTGTTGCATACTACACATGGCTTCCATGTTAAGGAAAATTCTAAAATGTCTAAGATTTTCAGTGGCTCTGAGGATAGGTTCAGGGATCCGGTATACATTTAAGGCAGAAAATTAAAAGTGCAGATCAGTACTATGTGGATTTAAAACATGCATTGTTACCAAGTGATTTGGTTGTTTTGATTGAAAGGACTACTCTCTACATCTATTTTGTGTGTTGCATTAAGCATGATTTTATTTTCCTCCCAAAGTTCACAGAGGTCTTATAAACAGTGCATCTTAGTGTTTGATGCACAAATGGTCTCAGGCCAAGTGGTTACCTCATTTTATTATTTTTCTTCTTCTATCTCCATATGTATCTCCGGGCAATCTGAGTGTAAAGTTGTGCTGTAGTGCTGATGGGGATATAGAATGAGAGCCTTTATTCTCAGCTGTGGGGCCCTATTGCTGTGTTACCATTTTACTGATGTGTTCAGTAGCACAGATCTTTTTTTAAAGTAATTTGGGAACAATTTCTTGCAATTTCAGTTGCATGGAAACATTGTTGTGAATGAACTTGCAGCTTGTACAGATGATGCCACAAGCCCCAAAGAAATCCAGTAATAGTTTGTTAATAACATTCAAAATAGGCTTCAAAATAGCTTTGAGGGAGTTTGTTCTTGCACTTTTACTTATTGGGTTTTTTAATCATAGTTCTTGATTAATGCACTCTTGCATTGCAAAGTAACAGAAAGCCATAGAATAGAAAATTTATTTTAAATTGTGTATTTTTAATTGTGTATGTAATTTGCCGTGTATTTTAAATTCTGTTTGAACAAATCTGAGCATTTTTACTACCAAAATTGACATACCTCTGCAACAGCTTTATGTATTAGACTGTTTACTCAGCCATGAGGAGAACTACAAGAGGCTGTACAAGTACATTATTGCACTACTCCTGAAATAAATGTCCAGTAGGCCCATCTTATACAACACCTTGAAAGAATGAATGTAAAATGAGGATAATAATTGAATAATCATGACATCTGTTACTCCAGCACCTCTTAGTGGGAAATTAACCAAGTAAATTGCAGGTTCAAAGATGTGTTAACAATTCTATGGCAAATATAGCTGAAATAAGTGGTGGGGGAAGGGTAACAGGGATGAAATTGGGCTCTCAGATAATCATTTGACACACAGGTAATTGAGCAGCTGTCCAGAAGGCTGATGAACACTTGTAAAGAATTATATTTATTGCTATGTTGTAGGCACACAGTCTGTGGTGACTGGGAGTGGGGCTGGCCCAGCCCCATCCCCAGTGGGTGCAGCTGTGAGCAGCAGGTGAGCAGCACTGGCAGCAATGAGCCATGGAGTGCCCAGGGGCACTGACCAACCCCCAAAGGGAGCAGAAACACACAGGGGCAGGGCATCAACATGAGGGGATAAAAGGTTGGGCTAAAGAACAGGAAGGGCAGATGCTTGCAGCCTTCTGAAGTGATCTGGTGTTCCTGTGTATGGGCAGACACCTGAAGCCTGCTGATGTGGTAAGGTGTGACTCTGTTTGGGGGAATGCTTAAAGCCTTCTGAAATTGTGTGGTGATACTCTGTGTATGGTGGCCATCTCGACTGTGCCACTATGTGAGTTTTTTATGGGTTTTTTGGTGGAATTTCTGTTGTTTTGATGGCTATTCAGATGCTGCAGTCTCAAATTAATAAGGATCATTGGGAAATAAAAGTTATATTTTTAATTGCAAAACAATTCTCAACTATCATGTCATCATACTGATAAGTGGAAAATAATCTTGAGTGTTTCATCCTAGAGACAGCTGTTATAGTGTTGTATGAGCAAATGCCTTAACTCTGAAGTGGCTTATCAGTGTAGAGTTCTTGTGTGTTAAAAAATATTAGTTAAGGTTCCTGTGTAATATGGCAGCTTAATCCATAAAGAGTGGAGGATTATTTTATTACTTTGCTATTTTTCTTTAAATAACTTGTAGTTATATTTATGGTCTTAGTTGGAGAATGTCTGCATACATTTTCAGGGTGTAAGAATGGCTATCAGAAATATGAAGGAATATGTAATTTGTGAAAAAACAGTAAACCTCATTAAGAAAGGTTATTGCACCTATAGCTTCTTCTCTCAGTGCTCATTGATTAGAGATTAAACATTATCCTTTGTGCTATTCAGATTGGGATTTTTAATTAGGATGTCATTATTACACAGATATACTAAATGCTAAATTGATTTTTGAGACCTTTTGAAATAATGGCACTACTTCTGCAAAATGAAAATCATAATAGATTATTGACTTATACTTGGCTTTTGGTTCAAGGGCACATCTCCAATGTCAACATTTTCAATATTTTTAGTTTCATGCAAAGAGACACTCATAATTAGGCTTATATTAAAAGTTTGTGACTATCGACTCATATTTTATTAATGACAATACTATAGCATTGATTGTCCTTGATTTATAATAGCAAGCCATGCTGCCTGTTGCTGACATGTAAACACAACATAAACTTTCAACTAGATTATTTTATTTGAGAATTTATATTCATGCAAGAAGTATCATAAGAGCTATTGGTATCTTAAAGTAGATATTCCCTTCAGTTAGAAGTTGGTTTTAGATGAAGAAGTTCTCTTTTCTCTACAGGATGTATCAGATGTTGGGGTTTATAATGGATTCTTAAAGAAGCTTCCAGGATAGGCCTTCAGAATAGAAACAGAATTTCAAAGCAAGCAAATACTAATACTTCCATTTATTAGTGCCTATTTACTTAAATTTGGTTCAAATATAGCTAAACTCTACTTTTCCATTCAGGCTTTGTTTTTCCACAGACTTTGAAACAAACTCATCTGTCTTGCTAAAATCTTTTAAAATCTAGCATTTTTGGTAGCTTTTGTTTGTAGATAGACTTGACTTGTTAGTCTTAGATAGACTTCTTGTCAGGTATTTCCAGGTCAAACAGAAGAGCTGGTGTTGACAGTTTTGCATGTTAAGATTGAAAATTCTCAGAACAGGGAGTGTATTTCCTAGCAAGTTGTGGTAGTTGTTGGTGCATTTTTCTTTTAAAATAAGGAGCGAATTCTCCCTGTAGCCAAGGCTCTCCAGTATCTGTCTTGAAAGGGATAATTTTTCTGTGAGGGGGGACATGCCCATAAACTCATAGCTATTCAAATAAGCCAGTATTAATATCCAGTGTGAGTCCAGGGATGCCTTGTTGACCTACTTGCTCTTCTTGAGGAGTGGTGTGTGTTCTCTTAGAGACGGGCATGGTGAACATGGTGATATCGGTTACCTTTCTGTGTAAAACAGCCTTCTGCACAGAAGTTTTCTTGTTGTCACAGTCTTAAATCTCTGCTTAGTTGGAATTCCATGTATAAATTGTATAATGTATAAAGTAAACATCTCACCTATTTAAGAATAGGAATCATTCCTCTTACAGCTAAGAACATGCAGTGCCTTGGAAATCTATAGAAATACTATCCTTCAGGTGATACAATTCATGTCTCTTCTTTGTTGGTATAATAAATCTTTATGCACCAGTTCTCTGTTCCATATTTATAGTTTGATTCAATGATCTTGAAGGCCTTTTCCAACCTAATGAATTCTCTGTAAGTAGTGGTCTAAGATAAGTTCAGATCTAGAGGCGGATGAAGGTATGTGCAGGTGTAAATGTGATCAACTACACGTTGCTTCTTACTAATACAGAAGCTGTATTGTACACTCCTCATTTTAATTAGAGTGTACTAAAGTAAAATAGTCTAGAAAACATTGGGAAGTTGTCTTTTTATTAAACACTTAGCAAAAAGCATGATTTTTATTGGTAGCAATTTAATGTGAGATCTCTTTCTCAAGAATCAAGTGAAAACAAATATAGGATGTGCATTTTAGAAGGATTTATGATAACTTTAAGTGTAGTGGCTAAGTATTCTTGAATAAACTTTTAGTAAAGTTGCCTATTTATTCTTTTACAACTCTCATGTCTCTAAGCAATTTCATCATTTATTCATCCTGAAAACAGTCCTTTGCAAGTTTGTGAATGCATCTCCCTGTTTGGTAATGGGAGCTGATATGACTGCAAGAAAAAAAATATGGAAAAGATCCTAAAATACAAACCACAGAATGACAAACTGAAGTGAGGGCACTGCTTCCAGTTCTGTCTTTTCATCTTTGACTGATATTTTTCTAGAAGAAAATTGGCATGTTCTTTGGTTGTCACAGCTTGATCTGTGCAGTACCATTATGTCCAATATTTATCACAGATGACTAACAAGGCTGGGACTATACCACGCCAGGGAAACTTCTCTGAAATAAGAACTGATGAAGTCAATTAATTTGCTGGCAAAAATATATATGTATTACCTTTCTTCAGATTAAACCAAATTCTTCAGTTGCATAACTGCATGTAATTTGGAGGGGGAATTGTTCTATTTTTCCAGCTTCCAGAAGATGACTGCCTGAGAAATGTATGTACTTTCAAGTAGACAAATATTCAAGCTTCTTGCTATCACCATCTATAATTTATAACTTTTTAATAATGCAAGTACACAAAATAAGTCTATCTCAATATAGATAGGTATAGCTATATAATATACAGGTTTTTCTCAAAATAAGTATACATCTCTGAAGAATTTAGCAGTGATGTTGTGCAGCATGTTCATAGCTTTTACTTTTTTATAATTTTGTTGTGCAGATGTTATTACAGAAAGGGTGGAGTGATACCACTGCTGATGTATTTTTCCACTTTGTATATGGCAGCCTCAAGTGAAGATAAGACAGGTTTTTTTCTGAAGGAGAAATTTCAGTAGTTCTGTACTGGATGAAAGACCCCTCTTGTTTAAAGGGTATACACCAGGTGGGGAGTAACATAGTTCAAGAAATATTTGAAAAGGCACCACTAATGATGGAAAATAAGGGATGCAATAATTCTTCACGTGCTGTAAATCTAATCATGTATACATGCAATAAAAACTTCCCAAATAATATATCAGTTTTATTCAAAGTAATATTATGTTATTGTGTTTTACAAGGATGCCTTGGCAGAATAGATTAGCTGTTAGAACACTTCAATTATTCTACAGGGACAAAAAATTTGGAGGACCCAAACCAAGAAAAACCTTCCATGGTTGAGTCTGCAATGTGAGGCAAAGTATGGGCAAAGCAAGAAATGGAGATCAGGAGAAAAATTTTAGAATACTCTAATAATATTTTCTTAACTAACATTTTCTGTTTCTGGGAGATACCTTGGTACAGATCCACGATGCATTTAGCCATGAAAATTCTGCATATGGGCCTTGCTTACAATCATGTTTCTGCTTCGCTTTTCTTAAATAGTTCTGTTCATACCCACACAAAATAATTTCTCAGAGTCTGTCTTATTGGGGTTTTGTGGGCACTGAATGGAAGTTCAATATCAAAATACTTGTATGCCACCTACACAAAGTCTTAACATCTTTAGCAGGACCTCAAACAGGAAGTTGGAGCCTCCCTTTGAGACAAATTATTTTATTTTTGTTAACAGATAGCATTTTAATTTGTCTCCTCATATTAGAATAAGTGAAATTGAGGGGGGTGTCGGGGGGGATAAAACTGCAGCAGTTGTATTTTAGTAAGAGGATATATCACATTTTCATCCCCCAAAGACATTTCTATGTTGTGCTGTATATTGGTATAAGGGTCATTGGATCAATATAAAAATATGAGTATAGAGAGCTCCCTGCAGGATAGGACTCAATTCATTTGAAGATTCTTGTAATGGGAACAGTCTGTGAAGAACTCATGATTAAAGAAAAGTGTAAAATTCAAATTCATATATTGGTGAAGATATAAGCAAAGGTTCAGGAAGTCAATTTTACTAAAACTGGTTTTAAGTACTCAGAACAGGAAGCCATTTAGCATGGATGTTAGATCTTTCTAATGACTGTCTAACTGGAAACAGGCTATCTTAATTCTCAGCCCCAAGCAAGTACAAATGACCCTGCTTCCAGACTTCATTGCAATATTTATTGCAATTTGAATGGAAGACTTTTGACACCGTAGTCATAAAAATTACAGGGGACCACTTATCTGTGTTTGAAATGTGGACCTGGAAGTTCCAGTCTCCAGCAGGCTTTAACATTACTATTTAATGGTCTTGATGGCCAAAGACCAGTTCAAAAGGTAGTGGTGATCCAGTACATTTCCTTCAAATATATTATTTTTCCTCTCTTCTGAGGAAAACTGCATGTTTACTGTTCCTGTTGATGACAGGAGACAAGTCTAAGCATAACTAAGCAGGCAGTGAGGCAGTGAGTACCATTCATGATTTCACTTTAAAAACTTTTCTGTAATACTTATTACATGATTTGTTATGTAGTCCTGCAAAACATTACCAAGTTATACAACAAGTTCGAAAAATCAGAGTTACAATAGTTCTTCTCTTAGATTTATAAGTTGCTAAATTTCTACTGTCTTTAGACATGGCCATAATACTTTCTCTTGTATTAACACTTTTTCTGGGTAGCTTGTCTACAGTTCCACCAATACTGCAAATTATG